TTCACCATAGTAATTCAAAGTTCCAAAGTTTTCACCATAGTAAATCAAAGTTCCAAAGTTTTCACCATAGTAAATCAAAGTTCCAAAGTTTTCGCCATATTAAATCAAAGTTTCAGAGTTATTACTATAGTAAATCAAAGTTCCAAAGTTTTCACCATAGTAAATCAAAGTTCCAAAGTTTTAACTTTGGTACTATAGATAACTATAGTAAACTATAGTTAACTTTAGTTTACTATAGTATTTTTTTGTTAGGGAAACGCAATAAATTAAAGAACAGAGGTAAGTTGCATAAAAATGCATGTTGCGTATAAGTTAGCAATAATAAAATAATGACGTTCGATGACGAAGTACAATAACCTAACCCCCCCCCCCCCCCTTGTAAATTAGAATCTTTCGAATAGCCATGACCAAAAAGAAAACAACGTGGCTGGTAGACGTTCGATGAAACGGTAAATTGCAATCAAATTATATAATAAACTCTAAAATAAATGTAATGAACATGCATAATAATTACTGATATAATTCTGAAAGTCCATAATTTTACGTATCAGTCCATATTTTACACTGTAGTAGACTTGGTAATTTACCAAACATGAAATAATAGGATTTACCAAACATGAAATAATAGGAATTATCGAACATCGTTTTACAGTAAACTTGGAAATGTTAACAGTTCAAATATAATTGCTGTAAGAGAATGCATGTACATATTATGCTGAAATATAAATATATATACATTTGTGGTATCTCTCCATTATATAAACATACAGAGAGAAAATATCTTCAATTCTGTATGAAGTTTGTCAGAGGTCAATACGTGACCTAATCACACGGCGCAATAATATCTACCGGTACATAATTATAATATGACCTGCTCTACTTGCTTTCCATGTATAAAAATGAATAAAATAAGCAAGTAAAATGATAATTATTTTATTTTAAATGTAAACAAGTATTTGACACAGTTTTGGGGCTATCGATTCAACCTGTGTACATAGAGAAAACTAGGAGCCTAGCGTTTGTTTACATTTTTCTTCACTTTTGTCAACAGTCTCTAACGTTCATCCTTATTTTTTGGATAGACCTTTGGTTAAATTTTCATGATAAACTTTTATTTTATCTTTAAATTTTACTCACGATAAATGTGTAAATCTGTTGGAAAATATCGTTGCAATCATGCAATGAACAGCTGCCAAACACCTCGGCGTTTTCGTAATTCAATGTAAAGCTGTCGCCAGTGTCTCCGTGTTTATCAGTGTTTTACGATAAGTATGCCTTTAGTTACTGTAACCATGGAATTTTTTTGATCAAATTGCAAATTAACTGGCTCGGACAAGTGTCTTAGTCCATCGGATCCATCCATCCCTTTCCAGCGACCGAAATTCCTCCAACTTTTTATCATCAAACTTCGGACGTGTTTCTTGTGTCTTTTCAGTATCGATTATCATTTTTCACGAATAGAATATTCCTATACAACAATCTGTTCACTCTTACTGATCACAAATAGCCTTTCACAACATATTCCCTTCGAAATAGATTCCTTAGCATAATGAATTCGAAGCGTAACCGCCATGCAAGCCGATTTACTCCTTGCGTCATTTTTCAAAATCTACGACGGACGGTTAGTGCAATAATTTAAATTCGAAAATATTCAATTGTCTGTCTCAAATGTATATATAAGTAATAAATAACAAGTTTATAAACTTCAATGGGAATTGAAGTGGGTCGGTACGTGATCAAATCTTCTGAGAAGGCCTTCGGCCTTCACAGGATTTGATCACGTGACCGACCCACTTCAATTCCCATTGAAGTTTATAAACTTGTTATTTATTTCTTAAATAGATTAAATAGCACAATCATTTCACATTATCCCTTCCTAAAAAAAACTGTTCGTCCTCGAACAAAAACTACAATAACTTATACACATATGCAATGATAAAATAAAATATCCTCACTGCATGTAACAATATAACACACATATATTTTACTTTTCAAAAAGACACAAATGAAGTCATGAAGATTCGCAGTGATAAAAGTTCCACTCAGATGAAGAAACAGAAACAGGTAACATGTTAAGGTATAAATCCTCATACGTAATAATATATTTATATATACAGGCATTAAAAAAAGTAAAACTTAAACATGATCCGTTACAAAAATGGTCATAATTTCTTAATTTCTTTGATAAATCAAAATATTGCATAAAATCCACCCCCTCCCAAAGCATACTTACAGTAGCTATAAATCCTAACAACAAATACCGTTGAAAACATTTAAATCCATTATAACCTATACATTACTTAGCCTGATTTAGTCCTAAAAGGTGAAAGTCTGTTTCGTGGTACACTGAATTCCCTTATACTAGGTAAATGTGGTAGATGATGATAACGTCGAATTGGTTTGAATTCCTTTTTCTTTAGTTATACGATAAAATGGGTTCATTGTCCAGGTAGCAGAGAGCCAATGTGTAGTCCCTTTTAGTCCTCTGGATGGATCCGAATCCTAACGGCACATGGTCTAAGGTACGGTTAGCACACTTCCGGGCTTTCTCTCTGGCGTCCTTCAGGATCTGGCCGACTCCCGTAATAAACATTGAAGAAGGAGCACCAGCAAAGAAGAGGCGTGGATCCGCGGCGAGGAAAGAGTAGGGGTTGCTATCTGTACGAGGGGAAGGCACATTTTCCTGACGGCGCAGGTAGTAGTCCGGCGTGGCAGGTACAGGCACACATGCAGAAGCAACAGGCTCGGACGAGGGAAGCAACTCAGCTGGAATAGTGGGCTCTGTGTGAGACGAGGCTACAGTCACTGTAGAATTCTTAGTAAAAGAGGAAGTGGAAGACAGAGTGGCACATGGAGGGGGAATTGGCACAGAGCAAGCAGGCACAGGTGGTGGAGAGAGGGGCGCAGATGGAACATGTGAACTGGTAGGAACAGTGACCTTGTTTTCCTGCAGGAGAAGACTTGGATTTCTCCTTCCTGGTGACTTTCCTGGGTGGCTCGAAAATCTGCGACTCCTGGGTGGCATATCCAAGCAGGTCATCATCAGTAGTTGTAATGTCGCAGGGATCCAGAAAGACATCCACACTGGGAGACCGGGGTGGCGTTAATGAGTCTCTGTCCCCGGCTTCAGAGTGGGATCTGTGTGGAGAAGCTGATGAAGAAATACTAGGCGTGTGTTCCTTAATTCTGTGTGTACCCTCTCTAGATGATTTCTCAACAGGTAAGGTCGACTGCACGGTACAATGTACTTGCAGTGTGGACATGACTCCATCGGCCCATGCTTGTCCTTCCTGTGTCTGTCGAACTGTTGCCGGGAATCAAATTTCCTGAGGCACCCATCTCACCGGCATGTAAATGATCTTGTAGAGTTATATCTTGACACTGTTAAAAAAAGGCATAAGGAATTGTCTTTGTTATATAATTATAACAAGGTAAACATGTATATACTAAGTATATATACATTGATCAATTGTGATGTCCACTCAGTCAAGTCAGCTGTTGTCTCATTCTGATCATCTACAATTTCCCAAATTTTTTTTTGAGAAAGTTATGGTGAACAATTTTAACATCGTTGTTCTTGTTTTGTATCTTGTACACAAGATCACCTAGTTTCTGAATGATAGTATAGGGTCCCTCCCATGTTTTCGTAAATTTTGGGTAGATGCCACTCTTCTGCTTTTTATTACACGCCATACAGGATCTCCAGAGTTATATCTTGACACTGTTAGAAAAGGCATAAGGAATTGTCTTTGTTATTTAATTATAACAAGGTAAACATGTATATACTTAAATACATTGATCATATGTGATGTCCACTCAGTCAAGTCAGCTGTTGGCTCATTCTGATCATCTACAATTTCCCATAATTTTTTTTTAGAAAATTATGGTGCACAATTTTAACATCGTTGTTCTTGTTTTGCGTCTTGTACACAAGATCACCTAGTTTCTGAAGATATTATAGGGTCCCTCCCATGTTTTCGTAAATTTTGGGTAGATGCCACTCTTCTACTTTTTATTACACAGCCATACAGGATCTCCTGCTTTAAAGGACACTTGTTTTGCATTATGATCATAATACCGTTTCTGTCTGTCGCTAGCTTTAAGCATTTCATTTCGAGCTATTGTATGTATCTCACTCTGAGTTTTCTGTAAATGTTAAACAAACGAACAAGGGGAGTAATGATACTTTGAATCTTCTCCCAGATAGCAAGCTGACGTTGGGCCGATGTTGGCATATGGTTGGTAGATCGGCTACATATCGCGGTTGGCAGAACGGTATTGGGCCAACATCGGTCCGACATTGTCGTTACAACAGTCGGTGTATTGACATTGTTCCAACATCGGCCCGACAATGTAATTACAACAGTTGGTGCATTGACATTGTACCAACATCGGTCCGACATTGTAATTACAACAGTTGGTGCACTGACATTGTTCCAACGTCGGTCCAACATCAGGCACGTAGCATCGTTCTTAAAAGTGGGGTGGGGACCATAGAATTTTTTTACTTGTACCTGAAAAAATTGACAAGCAAAAGGATGGGGGGGGGGGGGTGGTGGTGGCCAACTTTTTTCAACTGAGGCCAACTTCCTTTCACTTCCAATTTTTTTGCTATTTTTCCTTGATTTCACTATAGACCCAGGCCCCCCTGCCCCCCTCCCCTCCCCCACTCCCTGTTGCTACGTGCCTGAACATTATTTTTAATGTTGAAGTATGGACATCTTTGTAATGTTGGCCCGACATTGTTGAACCAATGTTGCTATGTAAACTTATGTTGAAACGTTTAAAAAATATTTATTTTATTTTTTATTTCTTTGTTTATTTATTCATTTTTAATTATTTAACCCTTACGTAGATTTTCAAAACTATGGAATATAACTTAGATTTTTCTCTAAAACTGTCGACTAACAGTACAATTACGTCGGGATCGAATTCGGGCTCGATAAGCAATTAATTTAAACAACACACCGCGCCGAAATTTAAATTTTTGGTGGGTTCCTCGCAGCCATGTTGATGTTGTACGGAAGGAAAGTTCGGAAGAGAGTGTCGTGAAAAGGAGAATCATGACTAGATTTGGATGGAATTTCTGTTTTGACAGAAGATGAAGACATTTTACGACCAGGTACTGCGGTAGGTACAATGTACAAAATATTTTAACATGTGTCCTTGAATGAATAATTGCTTCTGCTACTGTTCCTTAGTCAGGACACTACATATAAAACGCCTGGCAGTGAAATCGTTTGAGCAAGCGCTATTTCAATTTTGTTATAATAATTTAACACTTCTAAACATCTCTCATAAAGATGGATTTCAACCCGAATTTCCTCGTTTGGGATAGATTGAGGAATTTTAGTGTTCCCCTCTTCAACATTTACAGAGTATGTTGTACAATGTAATAATATATATTTATTTTTAAATGCATGTTCAAGATCATTTTCAGCACTTATTTTGATTATTTAATAGTTGCATGCAGTGGACTGTGCCCGAGACGATTCCCACAGCGCCGGCGAATAGTCAGCTTGTAAAAATGGTGAGAACCAGCTCAAATTTTTTTTATTTAACACAAATAACCTAACATTGTTTTTGTTAACTTGTTTCTTTTAGCATAAAACTATAAAAAATATTGCATCTACTATATACCAAGTAAAGAAGAGGTTTATATTCTCAATTTCCTTATCCTAAAAATACATAACAATGGATTCTGACAGGTAATCTAAACATGCTATAAATTGCACAGCTATGCATAATTATAATTTATTTTACATTAATTTATTTTACATAAATTATTAAAAATAGCTATCATATTCTATGATGCACAATTATACATGCATTATTTACAGGAATCAGGAACACAAAGATTTCTTAAATTTTCTGATTTGAGCAATAAAATCACATGAATTGAAATTACATGTATCTTATATCTTATTCAGTGTAAGTCAGGCATAGAGCTTTAGCTCTAGCTCTAACATTTTCCTTTAGCTCACCTGAGCCATTTTAAGGCCAAAGCGAGTTTTCTCATCAATGTCTGGTATTCGTCTGTCATCTGTAAACTTCTCAAATTTTTACATTTATCGGAATTAATCCTAATTTGAACCAAAAAATGAAAAAAAAAACACTGCCAGATAGTAAATTTCTATTCTGCACTATACTGAACTGTCAGGTTGAAATAACCAATTGTCTTTACAGTCTTGTAGAGCCTTACAGTTACTTTATTATTTGTCATATTTTATATGTTTATATATGCGAAAGATATTGATGATAATACATCCTAATGGTCATCTTTGCTTTCAGAAATCGTGCCAGCAAAGTTTGAAGTGTCTATGGAAATGATCAACATTGAACTTTCTGAACCTTCCTACTTAAAGTGAATCCGTTCATGACATGACCAGTTATTTGGCTACCCTCCAACATAACACCATTGTTTATTTATTCATTATTGTGAATTTCATGGGATATCAGTGAGGAAGTGATTCAAGCAGACACTTGAGAAATTTCGGATCTAACTTAATTAGGATCTTTGGAATATTCGGGGAAAATAGCATGTGTTGATTTCATGGGATCTTTTTATTAGTATAGTTGTGTAGTGGATATTTTGTACTTAATACATGTGTTTGTCACTCTAGTCTAGTCATTAACTTTGTACGGTAAATGTACATGGGCAACTGAAAGTTCATTGTAACTGCAATGACCTCTCCCAATGTCAAATGCCATATTTTAAAGAAATAGTTTGTTTTATTACAAAGACATGTTGATCAGTGAGAATACTTTGAAAAAATGTGCTTACATTGTACATCTATAAATGTATAAGTAATATTTGTTTCAGAACACATTGTACAAAAAACGATTTTTTAATTTTGAAAATATAGATTTGATCTATGATAAATTGTGATGTTATCATTATTTCAGTTTTCATTGTATCTTCCTGGGATTTCTTATATTTCCATGGAATTCCATAGATTTCTTAATATCCTTGTGCACAAATATGTTGGGCCAACATTGGGCCAACATCAGAATTGTAATTGTATGACATTGGGCCAACGTAGCGCCAACATGTCGGTGCAACGTTGCGCCGATGAGCAAAATTACATTGGCCCAATATAAATTTTCCGACATTGGGCCAACATAACTGACAACAGTGGCCCAACGTTGGACCAACGTCAGAATTATCGTTCTATGACATTGGGCCAACGTTGCGCCAACATGTCGGCGCAACGTTGCGCCGATGAGCAAAATTACATTGGCCCAATATCATTTTCCGACATTGGACCAACGTAACTTACAACGGTGGCCCAACATTGGACCAACGTCAGAATTATCGTTCTATGACATTGGGCCAATGTTGCGCCAACATGTCGGCGCAACGTTGCGCCGATGAGCAAAATTACATTGGCCCAATGTCATTTTCCGACATTGGACCAACGTAACTTACAACGGTGGCCCAACATTGGGCCAACGTAAGCTTGCTATCTGGGCTGTTGTATGCGGACTGCCAAACAAAAGATCCACAGGCAGTTCTGGTTTCCTGCCAAGCATCATTAAACTTGGACTGGTTCCTAAACTCTCATGAACTGAGGACCTGTATGCCCATAGTACAAAAGGTAAGTATATATCCCAGTCTGTTTGAGTAAATGCCACATATTTTGTAAGCATAGCTTTAAGTGTCCTGTTGAAACGTTTAACAAGCCCGTTACTCTGGGGATGAAAATGAGTTGTTCTAGTTTTGTCATTTCTGAGTATTTTGCACATCTCTTGAAACAATATCCCTTCAAATTGTCCATCTATTAAAATAATCGGCAATGACTAATATATACTGTATACAAGGTTATTTTCGACCCGTTTTATTTTCGCCCTTTCACACTTGCGGACAATTTTGCCCCGTTTTAAATTCGCCCTGTCAAAGTTTTATTTAAGTACTTATACTGTATTATATGAATTCGCCCCGTTTTAAATTCGCCTAAATGAGGCTAGGGCGAAAGGGGCGAAAATTTCCCTGTATACAGTATGACTTTCCTCTAGGAGTTCTGTTCAAGGGACCTACAATATCCAGAGCAACTCCTACAAAAACAATTCATATCTTTTGTTGTTGTTGTTGTTAAGACGTTTCTACGACCCCATTTTTAAATATATAAAGAAATTAAGAACACAACGATAAAATTTTATTCGCTTTAATAAATTCATATTGTTCTCATGGTAAGATTGTTGTGGATAAGGGTTGGGCACACTGAACTGTGCCGGGTACACCTCCACGCTTAGACAATAAAAACGGTTCGTGGACTTTGGTGGGATCTTCTACAAAGCGGCATTGCAGTCCAGTCTGGCACCCACAGTGACCGTTAGCGGTGTCTAACCAGGAACAGTGATCTCCCTCTAATTTGTATTTTTCACACACACCTAAGCATCCAAAGTAAAGAATGTGTGATGAATCTTTTTCGAGTGATTGTTAATTTTATATTACATCAGAAAGAGAAATGTTTACAAACCACTGGACATGTGCATGACAGGGCCAAGGAGATCTCCAGAGGCGCGTTTTTTCTTACTGACCAAATATGGTCCGTCATGTTTAAAACAGCATTCGTCACTTCCGCATTCAGCATCAGTCATGCAATGCGTTGCGGCCTTTGGAAAAAAAACAAAATAAAACAATTCAGACAAGGTTAGCTTTTTTAAAAAAGCTGAGAGTCAGCCACTGGAATACAGAAAGTTTCTTTCTTGTTTTGTAATGGTGTTTGATTTGATCTATCCATCATGTTCTGTTCCTTAAATGTAATGTTACAAATAAGAAAACGATTACAAGAATTTAACTTTTCTTACAATGGCATTTATTTGTAACATAATGCTGTACATAATAAATGATAAAGCATAGAATATTTTTTTAAATTCTGCATCGTGATCATAACACTCCAATAAATTCTCTTCGGCGCAGACATCAGAGAAAGTTCATCGTATATCGGTAAATGAACATAAGCCACCATGGCAACTAAGATCACGTTAACTTCTATAAAAATGAAATATAATATGATGAATAAAAGGAAGGTAGACTTTGTATTAGATTGTTTTTAAATATTATTAAATAGCAGTTTTCATTTGTGCATTTCGAGGCAATGCATGATGTGGAGGGAGGCGGGGAGGAGGGGGCATACTGCATGTATATTTAATTCCATTTCTAAGTTTGAGCATCCATTTTAGTGTTATTAGGAAAGAAAAGAATTCCTTCCAAAAAAGTAATGAACGCCACGGAAAACAATTTAAATGGAAATTCAAAATATGTTTATACATGCAGTACGTATACATGTACACAAAATGTCTTTGATGATGTCTACCATCATAGCAAAACTATAGATTGAAAAACTGGAAACCATCCCCCCTCTCTCTCCTTTCATTGGGGGGGGGTTGACCCTGTCAATAAATCAGCACAGTAGTCTCAGCTATCGCATTTCCACTGTGGTCAATTTCTCACATGTGGGCGCGGTTCACGTGCACAAGCGGCACTTACACGTCTATCATCATGTAAATTATAAGAATTTAATGTCTTACAGTGGTCTTCTGATGTTTTCATAACTTCCATCATTAGAGTGAAAAGAAATTAATCTTTTTTTTTCTATTTTGGGACCTTTGTGGCAAGTGGATTGTTGTGTGAATGCCGACCCGTACATGTCTTCTACAAGGTATTGAATATTGATCAAGGGAGTCTTGCATCAGGCATCCAGAGGAATACACAATTTAAATCTTCGGCTTGCAATGGCGATTGAGGGAATAAATGTACTTATTTTCTATTAGAAGCAATGAAATATTTTCATAGTATCATTTAAAAACTGACAAATATCCCATCTAGAAGCTGAACAGTCTATGTCATTAATTTTCGTCGAGAACGACGAAGAACAATGTAGTCTATATATAGATCGAGGTCGTGAGTGTGCGTGAAGAAGCACGCCTCTGGTTGGAGAAAATTGTGCAAATCTTTTTCCCAGAATTCCGATTAACGCAAGCGCACTTGCAGTTTCATCCTAACGTAACTAGTCAGCCTGGGGGCTGACTAAATACTTTTTGTCCTCCGAAAAACAATTTAGAAAAAGTTGTGGGTCTTGTATTTGTGTTAGCATTGCATTGCCTCTCTGTATCTATACGTTTGTGTCAATGTTGCAAACACAGTCATTATGATGCATTTATATAATTATTGAAACTTTCGAGGGGAAAATTATCTTTTGAATGCAAGGACAGTTTCAAAGTTCGAGTACAAAGTTTTGTGATAAAATGTGGACCCAATTTAAGGAACACATTCCAACAAATTGTCATTGTATCATATCCGGTAATGAACTGTCTAAAAGGGTTGCTTATTCTTTTAAAAACATAATCCAAATACCGATCTGGTCCTGTTTTTGCCCCGATTACATCACTGATAATCGGTCATGCATAGGCAAAAGGCCATCAACAGTGCTTTCCACTGACCCGGTTACAGATAAGATAACGAACAGTATTCTAGCTCGAAAGTCCATTGAACAATACCAAATATAAGCAGAGGAAATACGGACATCCAAAGTATCAGAGGTGGGACCATGTGCCATGGAGGAGTGAGCTTCCCCTGCCGTGAATGTTTGTTATTTTCACTTTTTCATTTGCTAGAATTACCCTCAGATCGAGCTGAGGGAAAATCATTGACAATTGATCATCGACAGTGCTTTCCACTGCGCAGCTGTGAGGCGGTAGTCACGTGATATAGAAATTATGTGGAAAGAGAAGACATCCAATTTAATAATCAAGACAATGAATTGTACTTCCGTATGCATTGTAATATTCGATATTAAATTTGTTCCTGGCTTCAGAATGTGGTGCTCTAGACTTGTTTCCATTTGAAAATGAAGTCATTTTTTTTCTTGGGAAGCTCCGCTGTTTTCACTTAAAATACAAAGTATACTAGTATGTACATTGAAGTACGTTTGGTTCAACATGTGTTCCATCGAATTAAAATGCCGTATATGATCCCTATATAACACCGATGGAGATTTTTCTTATGGGTTTTGTTATTGACTCACTTTCAATTAACATTTATCTGTTTCATCCTTCTCTTAGAGAGAGAGGGGGGGACAGGGTCAGATGAGAGGATCGTTTCTACTTACCCATGCCACACTCAAAGTACAAGCGACTCCCAGACAAATCAGTAATCCTCTCATTTTCTTCTGTTCAAACTTAGTGGAATAATTTTCGAAGAAGCTACTTTATATCTGATAAGAACCACGTGGATTTAGAACACCGTTCCCAAAATTATTCATAATTTGCAGACGTCACCTTCTGTACAATATGTGTAATTTCCATGGAAAATAGAATGCTTCTATTTTTAAGTAAAACAGAAATTAATGTCGAGTAAAGTAAATTGGCTTCGTCATTTGACATTTGACCATAGCTCAGCTACAAGTTCAGCAAGCATCTACATGTTTTATTGTCTCAATAACTAGTATTTCTATGGACAATTACAAGTACATGTATTGAATCTCTCAAAACCTTTTATGGACAACCTTAAACAGTAACTGCCATACATACATCAGACTGAATTTTAAGTCCTCTGCAACAGCTTTTCATGGACATTGGAGACAGTGAAAAATCATAGGTTGAATAATAAAGCCTAAATTTTAATGTATGCATGCACATTTCTGTTAACAAAAAAAATAAATAAAGACGATTTCTTTGTAGTTGTTTTGAAGAAAATAAATGACAAATTCATTTACTGCTTTTGTTTGTTTTGTCGATTTTTTAAATTGAAAAAATGTAATTAATTTATGCGCTATTTTTATCACATTTTCTTACCTAGAACAAACATTCAACCAGTGATTTAAAATATGAAAATTTTGATTTCAAACAATATTTGTTAATCATAAAAGAAAGGAATTGCACCTTCTGATGACTATTAAATCTGAAGACCGTTTTCCAAGTATGCGGTAATAATAAAATTAATATTTTTTGCAGAAGTGTTATCCTGTCTAGATCATTCTATGGTCAAGTGTAGACAGTCCAAGAATTATATTTTTCTTGTTTTGCTATGAAATTTCTCCTCAGATGTACTTGATAAACAGTGTGTTAAAGTGTATATACTACAGCTTTTGTTTTGAAATAAATCAAATCGTTACGAAACTTTTATCAGGAATCATTATAGGCAAAAAAAAAAACCACAGTTGAAGCAGCATGTGGTAGTTTCATATGTTTCATGACCCCCGTGGGTAGGATGGGCCACAATGAAAAGGGAAGAAGAGCAAGTCCAACGTTATTCAGATAAGCGTTGTGGTTTATATGGGCTTAGTTTTTATAAAAAATTGTTATAAAGACTTAAAATTGTCTCACAAAATTCAACACTCAAGGCCTATAGAAAATATCTATGAATTCGATATAACAAATTAAATAAGTCGTTTTAAACGGATTTAATGTGTTATTATATGTTAAAGAATTTGTACAGTAAAACTCGTTTAGTACGAACACGGATGTAGCGAATTCACGGATATAGCGAATTTTTTCTGGGTCCCCAGCAAAATTCTTTACAAATCTTTGTAAAATTTAACAGTTATAACGAACTCTGATATAACGAATTACGGATATAGCGAACTGATTTTGAGCCCCGTTTAGATTAAATATAAAGAAAAATACATCATTTATAACGAAGTTTTCAAAGATCTCAAAATTTGATAATTGAACTGAATTAGTTTTCTTTAAGCAAATGTATGTAAAATTCAATTCATAATAAAACCTTAGGTATTGAAAGTATATTTTGTAATATTTGCATCCCTAACATATTTTGCAGTAACACTTGAAAGAAATCATGCATATTGCGAATTCGCTATATATTGTTATGCGAATTCGTTATACGGATATAACGAATTAAATTCACAGGTCCCGAGGACTTCGCTATAACCGAGTTTTACTGTATTAACGAATTGAATTTGTGATAACACATTAAAGAATTTGTTTTAATGAATTTAATTCGTTATAACAAATGTTTGAAACCCTATAGCTTTTTAACGAATTTAACAAATTTGTTGTAACAGATTAATTCATGATATCGAGTTCAAAGAAATAAATTGATTGAATTTTATTCGGTCTAACAGATTCGACAATTTATTACAACGAATTCACATATATTCTTGATAAATCCTCAGTACGCTTTCCTAGTATACTAGCATAATTCCGATCGTTATTACTATAAATTTTATAATTTATTCAAAGGAATTTTATTCAGTCGTTATAACAAAAAAAAAACAACAACAAAAAAACAACAACAAAAAAAAAAAAACAACAAAAAAACCCAAACAAAAACGTAGACTTATTTTCAACGAAAACCTGTTCTAACAAATTTTTGAATTCTTTGTAACAAAGTTAATTAAACAAAAATGTTCAACGTAATTATATTAAAATTTTCTTGTAACAAATTCGACAAATCGTTATTTTAAATTTGCAATTCAAAAATATATTTAGGGGGTTCTTAATGGGCTTTCATAATACCGGTATTAATCACGGAAATTACATTTTTAACTTTACACCAGTAACTATATACAGTGAGCATGTATTTACTTTGTTACAAAATACCTATCTGTAGAAATACTTCCGTATACGTAGTTCTATTAATTAAGTAGAATTATTTTCAGTGAAGAGGATGCTTTGCCCAATTAATACATACATTTCTATTGCAACGTTAAAAGAAATGCACTCACATTTAATTTAGTCAGAGATAAGGTAAAATTGGAAATTTCAGGAAAAATTCAAACGTTTTCATTTTAAAACTTTTTGGAAACTTGATAAAACTGTTCTTCATCAGATTTTCCCGCTTGGGATACCAGTTGTGGATCAACTCTACCTCTGAGTGAGGGTCGTGATTTGAAGAATTTACAGTCTACACTACCCCAGGATGCTTCCACCTGTGTCAGGTTTCTAGTCGAGTGTTTCTTGAGGAGAAGATTTTTTGTCTTTTCTTAATTATCTCCTCTTGTTTAGACGCTTGGTCCTTTATTTTCACAATTTAAATTCTTCTTCACCAACGGATGATCTGTAGCAATTTTAGTTAAATTTGACCCAGTGGTTTCTTGAGAAGAAGTTGAAAAATGTGAAAAGTTTACAGACGGGCGTACAGTTGTGATTAGAAAAGCTCACGAGCTTTCAGATCAGATTGAGCTTTAAAAAAAAATAATAATTTGACATTTTTTTTTAATTCGAATAATGTCAGATTTAGGTTATTAAAATTTTTAAAGTCATGATAATTTAAGAAATTTTAAATCATGTTAACACGAACCGCTATATGCCATGTACGTACAGGTGATTCCCGGTGATTCTTAATCTGTTCAGTCATCGATACCTGTCTCGTTGGACAAACACATCTAGCAATATTTACTCAATATTGGACAAGCTCTGGCTTGAATGGTTTCTCATTGCAAAGTTCTAAATTGCTCGAAAATACACTTTAAATACATGTTACATATACACGTTTATAATTAAAAATTCAGAGAACATAGAACCCGAACTTCCTCCAACAATCTACATTTTTACAGCTGAAAGTCCGTCGAAGTTTAAAGCTTATCTAGCTAGTACATACACTATTCCACTTAACAATTCCGTCGAATAACTTGGGAATATGCAATCCGCAGGCTGACGTTGTGACTTGGTCATTTCGGCTTTACAAGATAACATCCAGTCAATTAAAATACACGTGTAACCCCTTTCCGTACCCAATGCAGGTAGAGTTCAGACTGATAAGAAAATCATTGTTCACTGGATAGTTATGGCGTGTGGACCAGTAACAGAATGTGTTTGATATTACATGTACAAGGCTTTTATTAACATTTTACTAAATCAGGTAACTTTTTTTATTTACTGTAAGATAAATTTTGGGTAGTTTTATTTTAATGACATGTAAGAGGAAACATATACACAAATACACACTATGTCAGAGAGGGGGGGGGGGTAGGATCGTTTGGATTAGAATATAAAGAGATTATGACGACAGATGAATAAATGAGACAAATATATCAACTCTAAGATGAACCCGGTATTGGTACACGATATAGAATGCGAAGAAATAAATAAAAAAGTAATAAATGATTTTTTTTTCTTGTTTTATAGTTTTTAAAAGAAGAATTAATACAACTTTAAGCTTAAGTTATATTCACACCTAAGCCTCCCAGTTATGCAAAAACCTATAATCCCACGATAAACTTCACTTAAAAGCCACATCTACTGATCAATCATGGATATTTTAAAATTGACTAGAAAGAATGCGATTTAAGAGCTTACAGGAAGCGTTCCATGTTGTCAAAAATATATCTTATATATAAAATGATTATTGTTAAAATGTCCAAGGACGTCACCTTCAGTTGTATCCAATATTAAACAGTAAATATTTAATTTTTTTATTTTACTACATGTATGTGTAATCTATATTGTCAACAGTCAAGTAATTAAATGCGGTTTTCCAGTTTATTCTCTCAAGGCAAACGGAATATGTCGAAATGTGCATTCATGATCATCACATGCATTTAATTACAATACGATGCTTATATGATTGCTAACCAGATAAACACAACATAAAGAAATACTCAAGTTGAATGAAAGTTTTAAAAATTTTGGTAGTTTACATATATGGACACCATATTATTTATAAATAATATTATATTAACATAAAACAAATTGGAAGGGGGTGGTAAAATTCGTACAGCTAGTAGGTTAAAACAAAAAATTCAAAACGGCTCTTGTGCGTGTTTATTTTTGGATGATGGGAGTATGGATAGGACCTGCATGAATGTGGGATGTTAACGTCCACCACAATAGATCCGCCAATCATGGCTCAGCCATGAGAGAAACTCAAATTCTAAGATGAATTTACATCGTTTAGTCATTGTAAAATTATGATTATGTTTAAATTTATTGATAGACCACTTTAATGACTACCGTGTATGGGCATATACTAATTCTATGTAATGCTCGAATTTACAGAGATTATGTATCTGAGTGGCATGCATTGTGTTGAGTGACCATTTTATCCTGTACATGTATTTCCTAATAAGTTTTTTCTCCCCTTTTATTAAAATTATTTGAGACTTGAAGTAAAACCTTTTAACTAGTATGCTGATCACACAAAATATGTGTTATCTTTAGAGTTATATTTCTGGTGAATGGTTATAAAGACTTCTTAATCATTGATTCATTTAAGCGAATCTATGTTTACCATGTCTGACGGTAAACTTAAGAAGTATTTAGTTTCTACTTGTCATGTTATGTTCTCATTTCAGTTTCTAAAGAGCAAGAGCCATCTTATGCATAAAATGGCACTGTACTTATATCAATTAATTAACTATCACCTTATTTCCCATTTCATATATCAAAATAAAGTAGACGCTTGGTACTTTCATTTTGTGTAATAAAATTTCGTTTTGAGAATCCAGATATTGGAAAACAGGTTTGAGAAATTGCAATGTTCTTGGTATTTGCAGAAAACATGCGTATTTGACTACCTTCAGCAAAGAATTAAAATATGAGCACAGCCCACGATCCAAAAAATAAAACGTTTTTTGATCTTCAGAAACAGAGCTTTCATTATGTATTTGCATATTTTGGATCAGAGGTTGTGCTCTATATGAAATATTGAAAAAATGCTTCAACTTTAGGTCATTTTCAAAGGAATTTACAGGATATGAGGAAAATGACACATTTTATGACGTCATAATACATTGACTATATGGGAAATTACGTCACGATTAATAGATTACGTGGTCACCAACACTCAACGTGATTTATAAATACTGCATTTGCAACCTAAACTGAGCGGTTTTGATTTTTCATAAATTCTGAGGGCCAAATAAGGCCCAAAGTGGCTCTTTCTCTTTCAAGCAGTCTAGCCAGTTGAAGGTTTATCACATATGTTTTGGGAAGAAAGGAATTTTACAGCATAAATTTTACTTAACTTACACCAACTGTTTTGTTTGCTTTTCTTTTATTTCTTTGATACTAGCTGTTAATCGACTTTTTATCAAAAGAAATATTAACACCATCTATTTTACCAGAATTGTTGTACAAATTATATGTACATGTATGTACAGTGTTTTGAGACACGTATGCTCGTATGCTGTTAATTAACTGTCATTAATTTCAATATTCAAAATGAAACCAGGAAATACAGACTGAACATTGTTTTTACTGCATGTAAATAAATCGTATACTTCGTTATCAATCTATATATATAGATTTATTATATTTCTATATTTATTTTTTAGGTTTAACCATGTTTTCCATTGAGAGAAGATCTCGTCCTTTGGCATTCATTATCGTTGTAGTAACCCTAACGTTAATGTATCTCTCTTTCTATCGGAACACTTTTGGATTTATGAATACTGTCCAAAGGACACTACCTGAAGACAATCCAAGTGAAAATGGGGGCTTGGAATCTTTTTCAAAAATTAAGCAAGTTAAAAATAAAACAATTAACTGTCGTGGTAAGCAGCAAAATATAATACAGAATATTTTTAGTCGTGATGATAAAGGATGGTATGAAAATCGTGAAATTTGTGACTCTTGTTTTGACTTTCCTAAAGCTACTTTAAAAACTAAATTTGGACCAACGCCTATCTTTGTATATCCGAGGGATCAGGACGTTTGGGTCTCAACTTCTCTTCAAGATCGCGGTACATTTGAATCTGAAAAGTCGGAAATCATTTTCAAAATGATGAAAGATGATCCCGAATTACAAATCATTGATATTGGAGCCAATATTGGTAAGTAGGATAAATACAAATATGTAGGCAAAATAATTTAAACATAATGTCTATGATGTATTAAAAAATTAATTTAGAAAAAACCTCTTCCATCAAGTACTAGTATCTCAACATTGAAAAGAAGTAAGTAAAGTAAAACAAGAGGCCCAAGGGCCACATCGCTCACCTGAGTAACTTTGGCCATGCTATTCTTTACATGATTTCCTTTTGCAATACCTATTATGACCCTGCCCTACCCACAGTGGTCATTATTTGGAGAATGTGGAATCTAAAATATCCCAGGATGCTTTTCTGACCCAGTGGTACACTACCTGAGGATGCTTCCACACTTTCAGCTTTTCTGGCCCAGTGGTTCTTGAGAAGACTTTTTAATGACCACACCCTATATTGGTCTTTTCTTGATTATCTCCCCTTGTAAGGGGACTTGGCCCTTTATTTTAAGAATTTAAACACCCCTTCACCCAAGGATGCTTTGTACCAAGTTTGTTTAAAGTTGTTCCTGTGGTTCTTGAGAAGAAGTTGAAAATGAGACGGACGGACGACGGACAACGGGTGATCAGAAAAGCTCACTTGAGCAAGTGGATAATAAGTAATAAATGATTAAGTAAAATGAGTTCGGGTGAAAGAAAATTTAAAGAAAATATTAAGACAAAAACATGATCTATAAATGATGGCGGATACAAGGAACATTATACCTTTACTTCTTGTCATAATAGTAAAGAGATGTATCTCGATTGAAAATGTAGGAAAGCATGATATGGCTTCACTTTAGCTTGTCAAACGTCTTCGACATAAAGATGGGAGATACAATCATCGGTCGAGTAGTGTCCTGAAGATCCTTATTTCTCGAAGTGTGCAATTGTTGTTATTATTTAGTGGCAGATCCAGAAATCTTGAAAAAAAAAAAATAAAAATCCGGGTCCATCGAAGAATTTTCTGTAAATCATGTTTTTGTAAATCTAGTTACCAGTTTGGGGTCAGGGTAGGGGCCCAAGGTCACACCAAAAACATTACTCTATTAAATCGTACAGTATATTTTGGACACAAAAGGGGCAATTGTTGTTAGCAGTGCACTGTCCCCACTGAAAACATTACTCTATTAAATCGTACAGTATATTTTGGACACAAAAGGGGGAGCAGTGCACTGTCCCCTCTGAATCCACGAGTGGTCTTTTTGGCTTGTAATGTGAAACATATGGAGGTAACGAACATTATTCTAGAATGTAATGTAAAATTTGATATGCATAACTTCTAAACATTTTCAACTCATGAATTCAAGTCCCCACAAACCAATACCCCCCCCCCCCACCTCAAAAATTTGACCCCATGAAAATATATGATTTTACAGCTAAAACTGTTAATGTAGAATTGAATATCAAAGATACACCATTACCTTTTAGCCATGATCGCAATATATATATTTTCCTTTCAGGTGTATATACCCTTAGTTGTGCAAAAGCTGGTCGTAAAGTTTTAGCTGTAGAGGCGCTGGACAAAAATATGCAGCACATCTGTGCTTCTGTGATGGAAGGGGGGTTACAGAACAATGTCTACCTCATTCATAACGCAATATCAAACGGACACAAAGTTGTTAATCTTGGAGTGGATAAAAGTAACATGGGTGGTACGTTCGTGGACGAGGATTCAAGCCATATCAAGGAACTTAAATTAGGTCGGGCTCAAGGTACATACGGCAAAGTTTATACCATAACTATGGATGACCTGTTAGACCTTCCAGCCATTAAACACTTTAAAAAAGTTTTTATCAAAATGGATGTAGAAGGTTTCGAAGCACGAGCTGTTGAAAAAGCTACCAAGTTTTTTGAAAAAATCAAAGTTGTTGGATTCGTCATGGAATGGGAGTTTCATAAAGGGCAACCAACTGCACAGAAAATAATTGACTTCATGACAGCGCGAAAATTTAAACCACATGCGGTAAATGTAGGAAAAACACCATTAAATCTCGCAGAGAGTGCAAAATGGGGTTATGACGTTTTATGGCTTCCTAGCTAGTTTTTATTGTGTCAGTTTAATTATTTTATGGGTCCAGATGTGTATTAGAGGAAACTATTTATTTTTCAACAAATCAATACCGTGTCAGATGGAAATTCAACTATATTGTTATGTACACAATGTTCCCAGTGAGTTTTATTCATAATTTTATTGATTCATCAGAAAGTTGATATAAAAGGTATACAAAGTACTGTAATGTGAAAAATGTCCATGACTGCTTCGTGTCAAAGTGACCAACGATGTGAAAAATATTTCAGTTCAGTTGGATGACCATTGGAATAAACTTCTTATTAATTAACTCTCAGATCGAAAAGAACAAAGGTCCCTGTATGGAAGGATAAATGATCCTCTGAGTTATTAGTATAAAAATATGTACGCTCTACACTGTGGTTCTCTAAACACTAAGAAGGAAATTTGAAATTGTAGTTTGAAAAGCGAATGTATTACCCGTATGAAAGTTTTATTCAGTTTGTTTACATATTATAACAAATACTTTCATTTTCGACAATTTGAACTACATTTATCACGAAGGATGACTGACTATAATAGCTTGATAGACTGTGATTGCTGAGTACGATGTATGTGTATGTGTAAGAATGAAAATATGAATGGATTTGTGAAGAGAGACATTGGTATAAAATGTTTGTTTTTGTTTATTTCAGATCTTGCATGATATTTTGGGGGTATTTTTTAAAATAAATTAATTAGTATATGTTTTCCCAATTCATATAAAGTTTTTCAGCATTTCATGATCAACTTAATAGAAGCGATGCAAAATTATCTTCTACTTCTGTCTAGGGTACAGGACGTGTTCTCTTTGCTTTTTAATTGCAAAATATTTATTTGACCTTCAATGTACTAGATGAAGATCTGAAGATATAGATCTAGTGAAAATATCAACCTACACTGTAGACTTTTTTCTTGAGTTGTAGTATACTGAAATATTTCACAATATTTCTTTGCTATAGGATGCTTGTAACAAGTGTAATAATTGTACTTTATACTATCTTTAAAAATGAGAGAATATGTTTATTTTAATCAATATTTAGGCTTCTTTAATTGTTTCTCTATCAGTTTACAAATATATATACCACTGATATTCCCCATCGTGGGATACCCACGGGTGATCTAGTCTGTGATAAGTAAAGACGACTATTCCATACATGTAGTACCCAAAATATACATCTGTTAGAAAAGTGAACTTGGGTCGTGACATTTTTTCGGAAGGAGATAAAGATGAATGGTATAAATAGGGATAAAATCAATCCAAATTCTCCATACTATACTTACTATGATGAAAAAGTTCTATATATATCGAGATATAGAAAGAAAAATCACCGATAACTTAAGTCCGTTAGACTAAGAAAATCAACAAATGATGAATAATAGGGGTCAATAAACTCATACTAAATCTTCAAAAGGGCTTATCTAGTAATAAAATTGTACCAACCCTTCGTGGTCCCCATTACTACAATACAAACAAACTGCAAGGTTTGTCGAGATAACGACGAAAGACACGAGTCAATAAAATGCGTCCTTACTTTTTCCTTGTCTGAACGAAAAATATCCGAACTTTAAATTTTGGATATTTTTTTTATTATTTTGGCTTTATAATTTGATGTCTATATTCTGCTCTGACAGTTCAATTTCTTTTGAGTAATTTTTTGTTCCAAATTATTCCATTTTACTGAATATTATTTCTTTAAAAAACTGTCTTATTTGTATTTCACATTTATTCAGTTGTATTCCACGATTCCCTTAAGTTTACTATTTTATTGTTCATTGTTTTTTCTTTGTTATAAATTGTGCCTATACTTTGGCTATTACTGTCTGCTTATCGAGTACATATATATATATTTGATAACATGGGTAGATAACTCAGCTAAGCTCTAGGCAAGTACAGGTATATTCTCGAGGACAGTCTATGGTTCCCTGGGAAGAGTTATTCATAAAGATATATCAGAGTTTGGTTAAGAAATTTCTCTATTGGGCAGAAAATTAAAGATTATTAGTAAACACATATTTTTTAAAATCCAGCATAAATACAGTTGGCTTATAATATACTACACGCACAGTTAGTTCTTTTACATTGTGATACAAATTCTCAAGTTCAATATTTGATATTCGCCTGAGTTATACCTTATATGTGACTTAAACACAATTTAAGTAAATCAGATGTAAATAAATTGATTTTAAAAATGCGGAAGGGGGGGGCGGGGGGGGCACCAGTAGCGTAAAGCGGACGATCCACTCGTAAAGAGCACATCTAGCATTTTAAATCGATCCCAGTGCAAATTACGTCTTTTCTTTTTCCCACAGGACATTACACACCCACACACAATTGATATCCCTTCACAGCCCCCCCCCCCCTCCCAAATCCCTTGTAAGGGGATAATAACGTTTGAACATAATCCGTTATTTGAAATATGTAGTATTGCCAAAACGGTGCAGTATGATTTTAATTTACTGTTATCAATATCAGATACCGCAGGCGTCAGAAAATACTGTTTCAAGACTGCGAAACGAGGATTTTTTTTTTATAGATATGCAAATCAAATGACAGATTTTAGAAGAGTGAATGAATTCCATCTCCCAAGGAACAACAACAGAGATAGATTGATTGTTCAAATTCTCTGAAAAAAAAATCACCGTCTTTTTTATTGTACATTAAAAAACATTCAGCTGGCTCTACATATTTCCTCCTTGCCAATGCGCAAAAAGTAAATTAAAAACTATTGTTACTTTGTCCATCTTCTGTTTTGATAACTAGAAAACCTGGATACTCTCACGTTTGAGTTCATAAATTAAACGTTTTTCCTTCCAAAACAAATTAATTTAAACTTGATGCAATTGTCTGCTTTTTGTTCTTTTTTTCTCGACCACCTCAAAAACGGACTAATCGTCTACGTCCTCCAATTTTACAGATACTTCCGGTCCGTGCACTTACAGTTGTATAAATTCAAATTTTTAAAATCATTTAAATGTTTTGAAATTTAGAAATATGAACTTATGTATTAAAATTTTCAAACTCTTAATCATTTTAGAAATTTGGACCACTACCACCCACAGGCACTTGTTTCGGTAAAAAAAAAATCAACCCAAAGTATAATAACATGGGTTAAATTTTTTTTTACCGAAATAAGTGCCTGTGCTGCCATCCCTTAGATGGTTACATGCTAATTTTAACCCTATTTCATTGATCACGCAAGTAGTGCCAGTTTAAAAATAGAGTTTTCTTTCTCAAAAATTCTTTGGGATGTATATGGGGTGGAATGGGGTTATTTTGGGTCATAGATGGAAAGAAGAGGGTCTGAATAAATTATCAAATAGATAACAATAGGAAAATTTTGCATTTACATGTAAGGGCGTTGTAGGAAGGGTATTTAGAGAGGAAAGTGAAACTAGAGGTACTGTGAGCAATGGGCTCACTAAATGATACCCCCCGCCTCCCATATGGTTATAATGGCAAAGTCTATGTTTTGCTGTGGCCGTGAAACCCAAAATATGTGTCGGATCAAAAAGTAAAATAGGAGGTGCACAATGGCACTATGTAATAAAGATTCTCTGAGAGTTTCATTAAATTTCGCTCAGTGGTAAAAGAGGAGTTGCGGATAAGAGATGGGTACCCCAAAGCGTAACTCTTAAATTTACAATATGACAACATTTTGTATTTACTCCCACCCGGTAAATTCAAAATTTACAACTTATGACATTATAAATACCAATATTTCAGTTGGAGTTATCGCTCTTTATGCCTTCCTGTGTGTGCAAAAGTACTGGAAAGCAATGGAATAATATGCTCATGCCTAATTTGACTCAAAAAATAATTGTGTTGAAAAAATAAAGGTATGAAAATCTTGGGCATTTGAAGGGTTGCACTAATTGTAAAACGAAACGACGGGGCAATTTTTTCCCCCGGAATTTATTCTACATGTATATACTCAATGGATATTAGTTCATTTTCATTCAGTCTCTACTCTTTATCTGATTTGATGGTACGATCGTATTGAGTCACCAACAACATTTTAGCGGTCTAAATAAAAACAAAACAAAAGGTATATATACATATACATTCCGGGGAAAAGTTGTTAAATCATAGCTCTTTTTACATTCATAATCAATATGGCGGAGAAGCTGCAGATTTTCTAATATTTTTTTTTCGCGGATTAGGGACTTGACCATACGATCTAGAGTAAGAAATCAACTTTATAATGTTGAAAGATTGTGAAAATACTATGCAGCTCTTCATTGCACTTCAAACCACAGGCACTTGGGGTATGGACCCACTCCACCCTTTTCCATTTTTTTTCTTTTTAAATCTGGGTTCGAGTCACCTTTTTCCTATTTTTCTATTCATACATATTCACTGATACATAATAATAGAGAAGGTTTGCAACTTGCAAAACGGGGGCACATAAAAATTAAATGGAAATATGAAAAGGAGGAGGAATGTATAACAAATTTATTAATGTATGCATATCCCATGTTTTATTCTGCTTTAGATAAATAATCGAGCGAAGTTAAATCGAGGAGAGGCGGATGGCGAGAAAAGAGTTGCAAGCCTTCTCTCTTATATATTTATGTATCAGTCGAAAACGATATAATTAAAACAGCTTATAGAGACATAAGAGTTACATTATTGATAACATATACATAGTGCATATTAGAATAGAAAAATAGGGAAAAGGTGACTCGAACCCAAATTCAAAACGAAGAAAATGAAAAAGGGGGGGGGGTCTATAGTCCATACCCCAAGTGCCTGTGCTTCAAACGCCTTATAAAAGTGAATGTACAGCGCTCAAGCCAATGTATAGTAAAAAAAGTGTCAATTTTGAAATCGATTTCAGAATATCTCGGGCAATATATGGAATTTTGGAATGAACTTCGGTAGTAATGTGCATTGTTTATATGTATAGATTAAAATAGAAAGCATCATTTATTTAGATCATTTATTTAAAAGTATTTTATAAGCGAAATTGGTTACCCATTGTTAGGGGTTCCATACCTTTATCTTTTTTATGTACTCCAATGTTTTTTTTTTAAATCACATGTAATAATCTAAATTAAGCGATCCAAAGGCCTGTGGAATTATGTCATTTTTAGCTCACTTGAGCCAAAGACTAAAGTGAGCATTTCTGATCCAGCTTGCCTGTTGTCTGGCGTCGTTGTTGTCGTTAACATTTCACAACTTTATTTCTCCTCCAGAACCACGTGCACAATATGCAAATTTCAACCAAACGTGGCACAGTGTCTCTTTTAATAAAGGAAATTCTTTCTCTTCCCTCTTCCAAGGGGAGATAATTACAAATCAGTAAAAACAAATCCATCGCTTCTTTTAAAAATCTTCTCAAGAACCACTGGACAAGCATCTTGCTAGGCCAATAAAGATGAAACATATGGAATCACAGGTAGTGAACATTCAGTTTTGTTCAAATCATGGTCCCCGAGGTAGGGTGGGGCCACAGTGGAAGATCAACGTTTCATGCAGGAATACATAGGGAAATCCTCAAGTAGTGTAATAAATTCAGGTTAGTTCATATCTTGACCCCAAGGGTACATGTAGAGTAGGGTCACATTGGCTGATCAAAGTTTTACAAAGGAATATATGGGAAGTCTTGAAAAATCTTTTTCTCGTGAACAGCAAAGCCATGCTTGGTCATATTTTTACGGAAGCATCCTCAGGTAGTGTACATTCAAGATTGTTGTAATCATGACCCCACCTCTTGGGGGGGGGGGGGGGGCTAAGAGGGACCACAATTGTAGGAGCGAGTCTTGTGACTTGAATGTCTATATTTGGGGCCGTAGAATGTTGAAAAGCTATATTTAGATTTCTTGGAAATTGGCTATAAATACATTTTATGGGGAAGTGCAGTTACTAGCTCCGCCTACTACAATTTTGTTGCACGGCGGTTTGTCAAGTATCCTGCGTATACCTATAGCTAGTAACCCGTTGTCATGTACTTGTTTTTTTTATTTTCAACTAATGAGCATCCAGGATGACGGCCAATGAACGA